ACAGTACAGTATGTGGAATTTACTGACAATATATAATTTCATTTCCTTTACATGTCTAAATTGTATTTAAACTGTCCAGTCCACTCATGTGACCTCACGCCAACGTGCAACAAGAGCACGTACGCCTTGTCTGTATCGGGTTGTGTCCGGTCCATGTTGCCATTTCTTCACAGTGTGAATAGCGCCATTAAGTTGACGTTTCCACTTTCTGAAGTTTTAACTCTCTGAGCCCGTCGACCACTGGTGCACTTTCCATACACAAACGTTCATGAATCTTCACCAGAAGTGTTTTCGTTTTTGTAATTATTCGTTTTATAACAATTGGCTGTTTGTAATGCACATTGTCCCGGCACGTCATTTTAACATGTTGGTGAAGCTGTTCGTTTTCTTTTATGGGATGTGGTGCAGTGCAGACATTTCAGATTTGATGAGTACGAAAGTTCTTGTTTCTGTCTTCATTTTTCGGTGAGGGAATAACATGTGGAGCATTATTTCTGAATGCTCCCCTAATTAGCAGATTGGACGTCTCGTTTGCACAGTTACCGCCACGCTTGCATGTCGACTCGATCATCAGAGGACTTCATCGTGTGGGTTCCGGGGCCCCATTGTGGGGGAAAACAAGAATAGACCCACTGCCTCTCCAACAAGCATGTCGTGAGAGTCGACTAACTGGGAGCTTCCTTCGAAGTCGGACTGCATCTGCCTGAGAGGCAAGGGACCAACAATATGTCTAACAGATAAGTCAGATGAGTAAAACGGATATGCAGGGAACACTTTGGTTCTGGAACAAGACTAAAATCCGGAGGTGGACGAATACCCTTAACTTTCCACCGGAGTTTACAGCCGGTGGACGTAAAGAAGAAAAAGAAGAAGATTAAAGAATCATAATCAGGGAATTTGGAACATTTTCATGTCGCAGATGGAGCCACCTAATTAGGAATTCCGGGGACGGTCTGATGAGTGACCGTAGTTACCCACCCACGGCCTTCTCTATTTATATACAGACGAACCTACCCCACCCTACCCCGCTACCCCCAAAGCTAGTTCCGATTGTCCTGGCCTATGCACACACTGTTAAAGGTTAGTTGCGTATTCTTTACAGGACGTTGCAGAACCAACCCCCCAGCAGCCCCTGGCTGTTGTGTGGTTTCTCTATGCAAATTTACGTCCAGTAGTTTGTCATTGCTTCTGGACGGTCGGCTTCTTGATACCACTGTCGAAACCAACGCAAGGCGCATGGCCCGCAGCTGGGATCGAACCCGGCACACCGGCATTACGAAGCGTTCGAATCGACTTAGCCACAGGGCCGACTATGCACACAAGAAGCAAGTCATATCTGCCCAACCGAGTGCCCTGTGCCAAATAGTCTCCAAATAGAAATGGAACCTTTGTTTATCAGATTGTGTCCATGGTGTTATGATACACGAATACGGGCTACACTGCCGTGGTATCTCTCCGGTGGGTAGTGTTGATGGCAAACGCTAATTAGTACTGCCCAGTTTGTTCGTGTTCTGATAGTCGCCTAGGAATTCACGATATCGGTAGATATTCATTTAAATGACAGCAGCGTTCAGTTGTCGATTTCTTTCTAGCCTCCCCCCTTCCCCCAGAAATCTTCCCAGAAAGTGGACACAGTTGTATAAAAGTAAAAGACCCCTTTTCACGCCTTTAGGCGTGTATGGGAAGAGCGCCCATATTTTCACAGACCATCGGCACTAGGTCGGTAATGTGGCCAGCATTACGCCGGCCGTCGATATTTCCACAGGGCACAGTTGTATAAATAGCCATAATTGGTTCCGTCAGTATTACATACACAGGAGCTCCCCTGGTCTAGCGGATAGACGCTCGCCTGCGGATCGGAAGGGAGTTTTATTTAGTAACACCAGATTTTCATGTTGCTAAATGAAACTAAACTGTATGAATATGCTGCAGTTTGAACAATTACAGATGTGCCATCACCACAGTGACAGTTTGATGCAGAAGGCCTAAGTCTCTCTCTCTCTCTCTCTCTCTCTCTCTCTCTCTCTCTCTCTCTCTCTCTCTCTCTCTCTTTCTCTCTCACACACACTCACTCATCCTATTTGTTAACTCAGACTGCTATTTACCAATCTTAAGATGTTATTTTTCCATTTATATCACTGTCTACCTCTTTCTCACTTATCTTCCCTTTTACCCACCCAGTATGGTTTGTGTAATTGTCTTTTAACTCTTTCAGTCCCAAGGTTCCCATAGCTTCCTATCTAGAAGCCCAGTGAAGGCAAGATATCCTCATTTTACGTGTCTCATGACTATCCCTTGGGCCTCTGATGCTAAACCTCCTGGGATTGAAAGAGTTAATGCTCCCGCATTTTTTAACTTGTCCTTTTTAAAACTTTCTTTCAGTTATCCTGTTTCAATTCCTCTGTAGCTAATTGTTTTTGTCTTCAGGAAATAGTCTGTTCTTCTGCAGGTTATATCCACATTTCCCAAAACTGAGTTTGACTTTCTAATTGCTTGTTCATTGTTCAGATTGCTGTCCCATTTAGTAGGGTTGAGTATTACATGACCTACTATGCTGGATATGGCCAAGATACATCTAAATCCTTAGCAGTGTTCTATAAAATCTGGTTTATTCTCAGAATAGTTACCAGGAAACATCATTACCAGAATCATTTGTCTATGACAGATCATTCACAAAATGAGCTTCTAAACCAAACATGTAAATGTAAAAGTAACTACTGCAAAAAGAGGCACTGAATAGTTAAACAATTTTTTTTTAAATTCATGGTTTTAAATACTTTTATTAAAAAATTTTCACAACTAAATTTATCCTCTGTCTAAGCCATCTAACCTGGCATGGCGTACATAGTTTGCAGCCACCATTTCAAATTTAACTAGGAAAAAAAAAAGAAAGAAAAACAGCACTTTAACCTACAGTTTATTAACGAGGTGACAGATGTTTTAGTGTCTGAATGGCTACCTCATCCTGTTTAATCCTGTATAGAACTTTAACTGCACAATTCAGCCAGGCCTGAACAGATCTGCAGAATTCAAACAAACAAGTAATAAAAAACATTGAGGTGTTTGCTGTGTCAAATTGTACAGATACTCCAGTGGTGAAATATCCTTTTTTTTGAAAGAGTATGAGAGATTCTCTTGCAGAAAACACTGAAGTCTTGTTGTTTCCTCTGTCAGAACCTGATGCCAGACACAAGAAAACCTCATCCCCTCCAGCAGTAGCCAGGAATATAAAGCCTTCAAATAAGAATCCACAATTGCCTTGTCTGCATCACCAGTGCTGACTGTCTTCGACTGGTTTGATCTAGATTTTTACCTCATTTGTTTATACAAGTAAGTTTTGTATTCTGTGTTATTTATTTATTGTGTATTCTGAATTTATTGACCCAAACTAAGAATGCCTGTCGGTTACCAGGGCACAGAATGAAATACTGCAAACAATGACAGCTGAAGGAAATAAGAATACTAACATCAGGAGAAAATATTAAACCAGATGAAAAGTAGAACTAGTCAGCTTCACAGTAACACAAATGACAAGTGAATATTTTGGCCTGAAAGCCTTCATCAGCACATTACAGAAATCTAGGGGACCACAAGTACAAACACAAATACACAAAAATCACTTAACTGATGTATCTCTAATAGAAATCACATTTCCGCCTTGAACGTAGAGTATCTGACATGTTTGTGGCCACTTCCTTAACTCACAAGAGTACTAATGGTGTAAGCTGCAAGGAAATAAGAATACTGACCATGTAAGCTGCAATGAAGATAAAAATACTGACTGTAGACTGCAAGGAAATAAGAATACTGACTGTGTAAGCTGCAAGAAAATAAAAATACTGACTGTGTAAGCTGCAAGGAAATAAGAATACTGACAGTATTTTTATACTGACTATGTAAGATCCAAGCTACAGAGATGCAGTTGTTAAAAAGAACTATGAGAGCACTGTGGGTATATAAAAAAGGTCTAGTGAAGTTCACTTGAAAGTATGAAACTTACAAACATAACTGGAGGGGATTGACAGCACACACAACAGGACTGTGGACAGACATGATTACAACTCCACATGGCATGGGCTAGAGAAAAAGTTTGTAATGTTGTAGGATCAATCAGCACATGAGAGAGTGAGCCAGTCAGTGGGTGTAGCCCGTTAAATGTGTCATGGTAGGGAGTAATCCTTGCTGGGAATAAAACCAAATTACATGATATGAACAACAGTGGGTGCCTCCTCCTCAGAAAGCCTCAACAGACTTGTTAGAGAAGCACCCACTTTGACATGAGGAAGTGTCATATAACAATATGTGTATAAAGATGTTGGAGCTGATAGAGAAATTAAAATACAAATTAAAAAAAAACAAAAGGAGCTTTTGTAGCACAAGGAAATTTGTGGAGGTCAAAAGAAATTAAAGCTAATACACAATTTGAAATGTTTAATTCTTAATGCAAATCACTGCTGTTTATGGGGTGGAAAGATGGAGAACAACTAAGGCAGTTACTAAAAAATTACATTCATTCATTAACTGGTGTCTATTCAGAAAAGAGGAAAATAAATAGTATGACAGAATCACTAATGTAGAGCTTTGGGAGAGAACTAAACAAGTTTCAGTGGACCAAGAGGTGAAGAAAAGACGGGATTACATGCAATAGCGAAGGATAAAAATAATTTCTGTGAGTTTGTTGAAGGCCAGTGCCCCATTAGGGGATAGAAGGAAGAAGAAGAAGTAGCTAGATATCTGACTTCTTGTCTGAAAGACTTAAGTTTGAATCTGCTTCAGTGGAGATTTGTATAATTGACCAGGATTTCTTCATTGACCCAGTCTAAAATGCATCCTTGGAAATGTCCTGCAAATAAAGGTGTTGACCACATCACCCATTTAGTGTCTGTACTTTTATACAAGTGTGTGTCTGGCACCATCTGCTGTATGAACCAGTGACATGAAAATAGTTGTGTACAGTTGAATGTGTTGTTGGTATTTTTTTAACGTTATTCATTGCAGTCATGCCTCTAGAAGACAAGAGCTCCAATCCATTGAGACATCGACTTGATATCCCTCTGATGGCTCAGGTAAATGGCAGCGAGATCTGCAAAAGCCTGGACAGTCAGCCCAGCTCACCCGCCTCATCTGACATGATTGTCATCGAGGATGGAGCAGTCACAGTCAAGAGAAAGCTGGGTCTCATGTCGGGAACTGCCCTCATTGTGGGAACTATGATTGGTAGGATGTCTTTTTCTTCTTCTTCCTGTTTGCTCTCTAAAGAATGGTTGGCCCATAATGTTGTGGTTTACACTGAGGCAGCAGTATCTGCATCTTTCAGCCCAACACATCTGATTTCAGTAAACTCCTTAAGTTGTCATTTTTATGACATGCCTGTTGGTCTGTTCCCCCCCCCCCCCCCCTTTTCCCCCCTTATCCCCTTTCCCCCCTTATCCCCTTTCCTCTTAGATAAGGTGCTGGAAGCCACACAGGGAGTTGTCAGGATGTGATACTTTTATGTTATTTGTCTTCAGCTTGGGGGAATGAATATCTTTTTTTTTTTTTCAGTCACAATGTTTCTTTATCTGTGGATTAGTTTTTTCCCCCATGTGAATCTTATAACTTGCTGTGGATTACTTGCTCCGTTTGTGCATCTACAGTCTGGTTTTACACTGGTTGGTGAAGAAATATTGAAATATTGTGACGGTACAGCTATTTCTGGTAAAAATATTCTTGGGGTATCATAGACCAAGAAGAAGAAAAAAGTACTGACATTCTTCACGATCTGAATACAGAAGAAAGATAAGAACACAGTGGATTGATGAAAGCTGCATAAAAATAACTTGAAGTAAGTTCACAAAGAGAATCAGTTACCTGCATCTGAAGAAGAGAATCCACATTTCTTAGGCCACATGAAAAGGGAAGAATAGGAATAAATCACGACACCGGAAAAGTTTAAAAAGAAAAATTACAGCACGAATGAATGATTGAATGAACAAACTTTATTTTCAAAGGGTCACTAATGGGCACGCAGTCTCACTTTACGTTTGGCTCTTTCAGACACTCGTTTTTCACATGGTAATTGTATTTCATATATCAAGCATATTATATTCTAATATATCAGACCTCAGTAGTATGCATGTAAAAATACAAGTATTGTATTTTATTTCTCTAACAAACCGTCTTCATGAAGACAAAATTGATGTGGCATGCATCCAAGAGACACACCTTAATGCCCATCACAGATTTTCTGTCAGAGGATGTCAAGCTTTACGCTGCAACCGAGAAGGAGGAGTTCTAATACTTATTTGAAACTCTGTACCAAGCAATGAAGTAGCTGTGAACTCAAATAACAAATCAGAAATTATAGGTGTTGATATCGTGATAAAGGTGGAGAAAATCAGAATATACAATTTATATAGCCCTGCAAACAGAGATCTTGCACTTTCAAGAATGGAAATAAATGACACAAACTGCATTGTAGTTGGAGACTTAAATAGTCACTCAGAAAGATAGGGATACCTAGATACTGACACCAGAGGAGATGAAGTGGAGGACTGGGAAATAGACTCCAATCTTCATTAAATTAACAAACCAGAAGACAAACCCAGCTTCTACTCTAGAAGCTGGTGCAAATCTTCCACTCCTGACTTAGCCTTCTGCAAAAGAGACATTCTTTACAAAACTGATCGCAGTGTACTAGATCAGTTGGCAGGCAGCGATCACAGACCAGTAAAGCTTGTTGTAAATATGGATTATGTCCCACAGGAGCAGAAACCGTTGCCTCGATGGAATTGCAAACGAGCTGATTGGGATAAATTTGCTTTGCTGACAGAGGAGTACTGTAAAAACATTAACACACGATATGGCAACATTAAGACAATAGTAGAAAGTCTAAACAAAGCAATACTGCAGGCAGCATATGAGTGCATTCCAAGAGGTGGAAGGAAAAATTACAAACCATACTGGACCAAAGAACCGCAGATCCTGGAGGAAAAAGTCAAAGAGGCCAGGAAGACAGCAGATAGAGAGAACAAACAACTGAAGCAAACATTTCCCTGAAAGACATCTCAGCAAAGTACAAAAGAACATTAAATCAAACAACTAGAAATACCTGGCAAGAAAAAACAGAAAGCCTCAACTTGGACAAAGATGGAAATCATCATCATCATGTAGCAGGTTCTTTGCAGAACGTCGCTCTCATCACAGTCTGCCTTTAAGAAACTCGGTCTCTTGCCAGTTCTCCCGCCTCATGAACTTTCACACTCAAGGAGTCACTTATATCCTGTGCCCATCTTCGTGTCGGTTGGCCTCTGCCCCTCCTTCCTGGTACCATGCCTTCTGCTATAATTTTTTCCAATCCGTCGTGGCGCTTGATATGACCAACATATTTCAGCTTTCGAGAAAGGATGCTGTTTATTAGCCAATCTTCCTTGATGTTCAGATCTTTTAAGATGTCAGTATTTCTCATCTTTTTTGTCCAAGAAATTCTGAGAATCTTTCTATAGCATTTCAGCTCAAAAGCCCCTATTCTCTTTCTTAAGGACTGAGAGATAGTCCACGACTCACATCCGTATGTAGCCACAGGGAAGATGCATGCTCTCAAAATTCTAATTTTTATCTCCTTCCTGGTGCTTAACCATAGACTTTTAAGGCTGTTCAATCTTTGCATTGCTATTTTTTATAGAGCCTAGATATTCAAAGTTTGTGACATTTTCAATTTCTTCATCATTTATTGTTATTTTTGGGTGACAGCCAGTTTTGTCTGTGGACATTATTTTCGTTTTCTTTAAATTCAAGAACAGATTTTGATCTTCACTGTGCTTTTGGACAGACAATATTAAATTTTCTATTCCCTTTATGCTGTTCAAAAGTAGGACTGTGTCATCTGCGTAGCGGAGTTCTGGAATAGGGTTGCCACCAATATGAGCGTATCATAACTGTCACAAGTCTGGTCATTTTTGACATTTCTCATTATATTTTCTGCGTATATATTGAATAGGCATGGTGAGAGAATGCACCCCTGCCTCACCCCCTTTTCCACCTTGAACCAATCAGATGTTTCACCAGCTGCTCTGATGGCTGCTTGTTGTTCATGATAGAGATTTTCAATTAAATGCACTAAATGCGCTGGAAACCCCATACTTTTCATAATAGTCCACAGTTGGTGGTAAGATTGAAATAAATTGTTGAAATTAGTAAAAGCCATGAACAATGAAAACAAACAAATAACTATTAAACAGGGTAACAACATACTAACAGAAAAAAGGGCTGCAAATACACTGATGGAATACTATGCTAGTGCAAACCACATTTATATCACAAACAGAACACAATGAAAGAGCAACAGACATGTCAAAATAACACAGAGAAATGGTAAAAAACATGGCTAGGGAATATCAGTGAAGAGAAAACAACATGCACTGTTTTCTCCCTCTCAAATAAAAAACAGCCAGTTAAGCTAGTGGTAAATGGAAAAATACTGCTTCAAGAGAACAATCCAAAATACCTAGGTGTCACATTTGATTGCCGCCTGACATGGAAGACACAGGTAGAAGCAAGTCAAACAAGAGCAAGGCAAAGAATGGCAATCATGAAAAAAACACTTGCTGGCACAACATGGGGAGCTGATGAGAAAGTTCTCAAGAAACTATACACTGGACGAGTAAGGCTAGTCCTTGGATATGGTATTGCAGCTTGGGCAACAAAAGTAAAGTCAAACTTTATCAAAACAAGTAGAGTCCAAAATCAAGGAATGCAGATTATAACTGGGGCCATGAAGACAACGCCAATTAATGAACTAGAAAAGGTCACAGGTCTGCAACCAATGGAGGATAGGAGAGACAGCAGATCCCAGCAACAAGCAGAAAAATTTAGAAGGCTGGCAGATCACCCCATGTATCAAAAGTTTAATCATCTGGAAAGGGGAAGACTTAAGCGAAAAAACTTTGTAGAGACTGCAAAAACTAAAATCAGGGAAGATCCTGTACTAAACTTATCAGTATCCAAACCGTCCACATTACATATACGCTCCCTGCTTGGAGACAGCAGCATCTGCTTGAATTTATAGAAAATATTCCTGGTATTGAGAAAGAGAACACTCAGAATGAAACAGAAAGAAGAAAAATCACATTAAACTACTTAGAAGAACAATACCCAAGTAACACCTGGACTCATGCATATACAGACGGATCAGCAAAAAATTCAACAGAAAATGGAGGTGGGGGAATCGTCCTGAATCTGACAAATGTATCAAAGAAAACACAGTCGATTGCAACCTGAAAGTTCTCAAGTAATTTTAGAGCGGGGCAGAGGCCCTGAGAACTGCAGCAGAAATGCTTCTGTCAGAGAAAAATAAAGAGGAATACATAGCTATCTTTACAGATGCAAAGTTAGTTGTCTCAGCACTGAAGAGCAAAAATAATAAAGAACTAGCAGACCTTAGAGCTGCACTCCATGGACTGAGTCAGAAATCAAAAAGAGTCATAATACAATGGATTCCATCCCATTGCAACATACCTGGAAATGAAGAGGATGACAGATTGGCAAAGGAAGGTGGAAGACTACCACAGCCTGATATAGACACAACATATGATGAGGCCAAGAGGTTTATAAGAAGTACATATAGTATCAAATGGGATCCTGAACATCCAGGCTACAAAAAGGATGATGCATACTACCAACTTGGCCAAAGAGAACAAGTAGTGATCTTTCGACTCTGCACAGGACATAATAGGCTGAAAAACCACTTGTTCAATAAACTAAAGATAGGAGACAATGATGATTGTAACTGTGGAAAGGGTAAAATGACGGCTAAATGCTTGCTGCAAGAGTGTCCAATATATGCAGAACAAAGTTATTCTGGCTAACACCCACAACTTTTGAGGATAAACTGTGTGGAGATGTCAACAACCTCAAGTTGACTGCTGATTTCTTCAAATATATCCACACTGACATCTGAAGGTATAAGAAGAATAAACTGTCCGGGATTCTCTGAGCTGATAGTCCCTAGAGATGCAGAGCTAGTTAACCACATAAAACCATAGTGGATGAAGAAGTCCACTGCAGTAAAAGTCTAACATGCAAAAGAAGCAAAGTACTCATTTTGTGGTGTAGGTAAATGAAATCCCAGGTCTGCAGGCTGCAAACTGTTGGCTACAAAAGAGATAGCCCATGATGTATGAGATGTTCAATACATGGAAGTGAGGTTAAACAGTCATGAGCAGGACGTGACGATTCCTTGGGTGAGCCCAGTACGAGCACCATGTATTAGCTCTGCATTTATGGAAGCCTCCTTGGATGGCGGGGAATGCTCATGTTCTGCCCCTGCCTTCTTTTGAGGGCTGATCTGCATTATGTGGCCTCTCTGGATCAGCCTCATTGGGGCACCACCTGTGACCTGGGAAATAAAGATGACCACACAATGAGACTGCCAATCCCCAGAAACTAACCAGGAATGCTAACCCGGTCAACAAATGCCCGCAGAAATCGGATGTGTTGGTCGAAAGGTGCAAATATTGCAGCCACCCTGTAAATGGACACAACACAATTACATCTTCGGATGAACCCAGAAGAAGAAGAAGTATTTTATGTATCAAGCATATTACATTCATATATAACAAACTTCATAGAATGAATGTAAAATGAAAATACAAAAGCAAAGAGATGAATAGAGATGATATTAAACAGTTTGATATCAAGGCCTGGGAGAACATATATATCTGAAATGATTGATAGTACATGAGACAGAGGGCTGTGGACTAGGTGATTGCACACCTCACCCAACATGGATTATAAGAAGAATTTTAAAATAATAATAATGTCAGCAGTTTTAGAAGCAATGAAGAAAATAGTTTTTGCCATCAAAGCACACAAAGATTGCACAGACGCACACATGTGCACACACACGCACGCACACAGACTGATTTCATAGTAAAAATTGGATTATGCAATATATGTGTATGTGTGCATGTGTATTTTTTTAATTATTTATTGAATGTTACAGGTTCTCAATGTTCTTATATTTTTTCTCCCCTTTCTAGGATCAGGGATCTTCATCTCTCCCAAAGGTGTGATTGCTGGATCTGGGTCCGTGGCTTTGAGCTTGATTATATGGGTGGGCTGTGGTGTCATCTCACTGTTTGGTAAGCACTGATCACTGATATGGAAAGCTTCTTATTGTCATTCATTTCTAGAAGTTTGTATCAGATCTCCTTGTAATACATTTCTAGAAGTTTGTATGATATCTCCTTGTAATACATTTCTAGAAGTTTGTATCACATCTGCTTGTAATACATTTCTAGAAGTTTGTGTTAGATCTCATTGTAATACATTTCTAGAAGTTTGTGTTAGATCTCATTGTAATACATTTCTAGAAGTTTGTGTTAGATCTCATTGTAATACATTTCTAGAAGTTTGTGTTAGATCTCATTGTAATACATTTCTAGAAGTTTGTGTTAGATCTCATTGTAATACATTTCTAGAAGTTTGTGTTAGATCTCATTGTAATACATTTCTAGAAGTTTGTGTTAGATCTCATTGTAATACATTTCTAGAAGTTTGTGTTAGATCTCATTGTAATACATTTCTAGAAGTTTGTGTTAGATCTCATTGTAATACATTTCTAGAAGTTTGTATCTGATCTCCTTGCGATACATTTCTAAAAGTTTGTATCAGATCTCCTTGTAATACATTTCTAGAAGTTTGTATCAGATCTCCTTGTAATGCATTTCTAGAAGTTTGTGTTAGATCTCATTGTAATACATTTCTAGAAGTTTGTGTTAGATCTCATTGTAATACATTTCTAAAAGTTTGTATCAGATCTGCTTTTAATACATTTCTAGAAGTTTGTATCAGATCTCCTTGTAATGCATTTCTAGAAGTTTGTGTTAGATCTCATTGTAATACATTTCTAGAAGTTTGTATCAGATCTCTTTGTAATACATTTCTAGAAGTTTGTATCAGATCTCCTTGTAATACATTTCTAGAAGTTTGTATCAGATCTCCTTGTAATGCATTTCTAGAAGTTTGTGTTAGATCTCATTGTAATACATTTCTAGAAGTTTGTGTTAGATCTCATTGTAATACATTTCTAAAAGTTTGTATCAGATCTGCTTTTAATACATTTCTAGAAGTTTGTATCAGATCTCCTTGTAATACATTTCTAGAAGTTTGTATCAGATCTCATTGTAATACATTTCTAGAAGTTTGTATCAGATCTCTTTGTAATACATTTCTAGAAGTTTGTATCAGATCTCCTTGTAATACATTTCTAGAAGTTTGTATCAGATCTCCTTGCGATACATTTCTAAAAGTTTGTATCAGATCTGCTTTTAATACATTTCTAGAAGTTTGTATCAAATCTCCTTATAATACATTTCTAGAAGTTTGTATCAGATCTCATTGTAATACATTTCTAGAAGTTTGTATCAGATCTCCTTGTAATACATTTCTAGAAGTTTGTATCAGATCTCATTGTAATACATTTCTAGAAGTTTGTATCAGATCTCATTGTAATACATTTCTAGAAGTTTGTATCAGATCTCATTGTAATACATTTCTAGAAGTTTGTATCAGATCTCTTTGCGTTACATTTCTAGAAGTTTGTATCTCAACACATTGTAATTCATATCTAGAAGCTTATATCTGATCTGATTGTTATACGGTTCTAGAAGTTTGTATCTGCTCTTATCCTATAAAATTATTGAAATTTATATTCAACTTATTGTAATACATTCTTAGAAGTTTCTATCCCAGCTCAATGTAATACTTTTATATGTGGCTCCATGGCGTAGGGGTTAATTAATAAACATTGAACATCACATGTAGGGTTCGGTTCCCGCAGGGAACAGTTTAAAAAACTGGTTCTCTTGGTTTTTGAACAGTGGTGCTAGAGTCGCACAGTGGAAGAGACTGGGGCCTCATAACGTGATGTCCCCAGACAGCAGTGGTACACTGTAGCCAACCTTTATTGTGGAGATGCTGCAGAATTAGAAATTAATCACATTTAAAGCTTTAACTGATATTATTGTAACATATTTCTAGATGTTTGTACCTGATCTCATTGTAATATATTTCTAGATGTTTGTACCTGATCTCCTTGTTATATATTTCTAGAAGTTTGTGTCTGATCTCATTGTAATACATTTAGTATTCTGTATTTGATTTCATTAAAATATATTTATAGAAGTTCGCATCTCAGCTTGTTGTAATGCATTATAGAAGTTTGAATCAGACTTCATTTTAATACATTTAGTATTTTGTATCTGATTTCATTAAAATACATTTATAGAAGTTTGCATCTCAACTCACTGTAGTACATTTCTAGAAATGTGTATTGATCTGATTTTAAAACCACGTACAGTATCATTTATGATCATTAGAACCAACAAGTTTTCATATTATTGACCCATACTGCAACAGGAAACTCACTACAAGTTTACTTGTGACAGCACACAAGTTCATGGCCATGGCAAAACTGTTAGGAAAGAAACTTAACCTAGATAGGGCCTGAAACCCTGTATGGAATCTAGCCAGATGCCCTGGTAACACCTTGCAGCACTATTTTCTTTAGATGGTCATGATCTTTGTGTGCCTCAGCATCACTGACTCTTTCTCAAAGATCCCTTACAGCATTTAGCTTGTCCTACATCAGTTCACCACCAAGTGGGACAGAACCAGCCAGTCTGTCTGCCTGTTTGCTTTCCAACACACCAGATGACCTGAGAAAATATCCAAAGCACGCTAACTACCTGAGACTCCTGAAGCGATGCTTGCCACTCTGCACAGAGCATGCCTGTCTCCACCTTTGTCAGCATGCTCTGTCACTTAGTTACAATTGCGACATGCGTGTACTGCTGGTACTCAAGCCAGAGGAAATAAGGTAGCAGTGACTGCCTCCACTTCCATTCTCAAACTGGACGTTGCACCACCCCTCCGTCTGCTTCTCATCACAGATCCATCTGTATAGATAATCACATCACCTGGGCCGGAATTGTTATGATAATTTGTTGAACTTCTGATTCTGCAGCACCGGCTGGCCAGTTCCTGCACTCAAGAGTTGCATTCTTCTCCTCCTCCTTCTTCTTCTTTGTATTCACCGGCTGTAAACTCTGAGGGAAATTTTTAGTTGCTCGTCCTCTTCTAGAATTAAGTCTTGTTCCAAATCTGGAGTTTTGTATGCACATCTATTTTTACAGATGTGGCTTATTTGTAAGCAAACTTTTGGCTTCTCACGTTTCAGGCAGATGAACTCTTGACTTTCAAGGAAACACCCCTTAGTCGACTTTTTATGACTTGCTTGTTTCGGGACACAGTAAGTCTATTCTGTATAGCTCCTAAAAAGAGGCCCCGAAACACACACGGGGAGGATCGCATTCTAAAGATGAGGTTTTATCTGAATGATATCACTAGTGGGAACAACACCTTGTGCTAGATTCACTGAGGAACAGACGATCAAATGTTGTTAGAATGCAGTCACAGCAGGTACCAACACAGGCTAATACAATCTAAAACAAGGCAAGAGGATCCCAAGAAGGATATGGACTGACAACATTAAAGACATTCATTGCATATTCACATGGAATGAGAAGAGCCAGTTCCATCCACCGAGCTTGAGAACAGCAACCACTCCCTAGAGGCTTGACAGCAAAAACTGGAGCAAGATGATGGGTGTAACATTACTTCATTCTTCTTCTTCTTCGCATTCACTGACTGTAGACTCTGGCAGAAAGTTCTGGTTGTTCATCTACTTCTGGACTTGAGTTTTGTTTCAGAACCTGAGTTTTGCATGCACATCCACTTTACAGATCAGTCCTTTGTGTATGCAAACTGTTTGTTCCCTGCCTCCTAGGCAGATGCACTCCAACTTTGACGGAAGCCCCCTTTAGTCGACTCTTAGGACATGCTTGTTACGGGGCAGTAGGTCAACCCTTCCCCCTTCCCCAGTTGAATATGGTTTGTGTAATTAAGTTTTCATTCCTCCTCCACACAGGTGCTCTCTCCTATGCCGAGCTAGGAACCCTAATATCAAAATCAGGAGCAGAGTATGCATATCTGCTTGAGGCTGGCAATGTTTTTCCGAAGCCGTTCGCTCCTATTCCTGCGTTTTTGTTTGCCTGGGTGTCAATGTTTGTGCTTAAGCCATGCCTGTTTGCCGTGATTGCTCTCAGTTTTGGCATCTATGCAGTGGAGCCTTTCTATGATGGATGTGAAGCACCAGAATCCGTGATTAAGATTGTGTCTGTTCTGTGTATATGTGAGTATATTTGTTCCACTGAAATCTTGCACATTATTTTGTCAAGGAGCTTTCATACAAATGTAATATACTTTTACATAATTACATTGGTGAAAATATTGTACTTGTAATGTACTGTATGTCTGTTAGTAGAGTTTAAAAAAATATATTTAAAAAATACTTTTTCTGTAAAATAAACTTGTATTTAAAATGTATACAGTGATCAATACACTGAAAAGATAAAAAGAAAAAATTGATCAAATAGTTTAATGGACACAGGAGATTAAATAGTTCTCTTTAGAAAATTAATCTATATTTCTAAATCATGACTTTTAAAACATTAAATTTTTTAAATAATAATATACATATAGTTAGACAGTATATGTATATATCACAATTGAATGAAGTGAACACAGCTATTGGCTTATACTTTTGACTGTTCAAGTTGAAGCTTATATATTATTGGTTAATTAGTCATGGTAAAAATTGTAGATTTGGTACCAGCAGATTTAATTCAGGCTGGAGGAAAAGCTTTTGTTATTCTATACCATGCTCTGTGTGTGAAAATTTGGAACAGTGCTGACTGGCTCAAAGTGTGGGAAAGATCAGTTATATTCCCCTCCCGAAAAAAGGAGATCTCAACAATTATCGTACTATAGCTCTAATTAGTCATGCTGGCAAAATCCTTCTGCAGATCATCTAGAGGAGGATCGAGAATAAATTGGAATATGAATTACAAGAAGCTCAAGCAGGTTTTAGATGGGGCAGAGAAACAAGAGACCATATTTTCAATATAAGAATCATCCTAGAGAAGTGTAGAGAGTACAAGATAGATCTTTATACTTGTTTCATAGACTTCAGCAAGACATTTGAATCTGTGCAACATCATAAACCAGGGCTATTCGACTAAGTTGCGTAAAGGCTTGGAAAATGGTCCTTTACTTTTTACTTTATTCAACTAAGTTTCCTTACGGGCCAAAATGTGGAAAATTGGGATCATCGCGGGCCAGTGGCCAAAGCCAAGTTTGGGAAGATCATTAACACACTACACTTGAAAAAACTGTCAATGTGTACATTCAGTACACTCTAAAACTGCTACGACTAGGCGCCCTAGGTCCTAGCCTACGGTAATATAAATGAGTGTTGTAAATCATTATAATGTAAAATGTACTGCAATCTTTTGTAATGATAAAATAATACTCACTTTTAATTGGAATACACGTTATTTCCAACTTGCTGTTTGAATTATAAATGAATGTTAGAATTTTCACTTCAATTGCATTGTCATAATAATAATAATATTAATAATAATAATATCAATAACTTTCCACAGTTCGTTTTATAAGGCTTTGTGCAGAAGAAACCGAAAGCTTTAACGCTTTTAATAGGAAAACTTGCATTTCCGTTTTTGAGCTAATTTTTTAAAAATTTGGTTGGTGAGCAATTCTCATGCAATCCTGCAGCCTTTCATTGCTCAGTGAGCTCTGACTGTTTGTAGTCTGTAGATTCGTCAATGGCAATTATCACCAGTTCTGCCTACTTTTTGCTTTCAGTTAAATATTCAAAAACTTCGGTTCTTAAAATTTAGAGTCTGCGTATCGTCGAAGTATCTGACATAGGGATTTGCTAAACTGCATGTCCACACTTGTTTTTATTTTATCAACTGCTATTTCGTCCAGAATTTCTAGTATTTATTCTTTCACAGTTTCTGAGTCAGTGAAAGGCCGCTCTCTTAGGGGGGCGTGTGGTCGATATCCATGAAACATGCAAAGAAGCCGCTGTAGCTTTTTCTTGTTGAGTACAAGAATTCTGCTACTATGCTGATAAGCAGCAATCAATGACACAACCTTTGATTTCCTAGCAGTGAAACTTTTTGGATATGATTTTCCAAAATCTGCATGTTTCTTTGTAAAATCTGCTTCACGTTGTGCTCCTTTACAGCCGACACACATTCGTTGCATAGCAAGCTCATTGGTTTCCAATTGAGCATAGTTCATGATTTGAAAAAAAATATATTGAAGGGTCCAGTTATTGTTGAATGCACGATTTTGACACTCCCACTTTGCTTTCTTATTAGTACCAGACATGGCATCAAGAATTAAACTAAATTATTAAAATTTAGATAATTTAAAACACTGTTACTGTTTCAATTTGTTACTACACAATCGTGGCCGGTAATCTACGTCTAGCTGTGACTTGTGTGTGAAAAATCTGATTATTATCTGATAACATGATCACCAGCAGGTTTTCTGCGGTGTTCGGTGTCACTAATGTTCTGCAGCATCCATTGTCATTAGTCTTTGTGTACTAGTGGTCACCATTAAGGAGAGTTTTTACATAATCTAAACGCTAACTAATTGGACAGGGTTGGCATTTTCACACGCATCCTGTCACCTTCATTGACTGTCCAGTAGAGCGATTGCTTCATACCAGTTATTTGATTATTTCCAGGCTATCTTATTACCTTTGGCTCCAAACAGGCGAGTTCTGCTATTTATAGTAACTGTTACCATGAACTAATTACATTTCATTGCCTGAGACATTCCCCTAATTGTGCTAGTGTCTGTTCATACGCCCGTTCGCTTGTTTCTTCACATTTAGAGATCACTGACAAACATTTCCTATTGTCACATTCGGCACAACTGGTTTTTGAAGATTTATACATAAACATTGATTGATCCCCTCTCCACCTTAATATACTATGTTTCAGTGGCAACGATCGGCGGGCCACTTGCTAGGCGAGTTATCACACATTCATAAAATATATTGTACTGTAGCTATTGTGTGTTTATCAATGATTTACATGGTATCACACATTCATAAAATATAGTGTACTACAGCTATTGTGTGTTTATCAATGATTTACATGGTATCACAAATTCATAAAATATAGTGTACTGTAGCTATTGTGTGTTTATCAATGATTTACATGGTATCACAAATTCATAAAATATAGTGTACTACAGCTATTGTGTGTTTATCAATGATTTACATGGTATCACAAATTCATAAAATATAGTGTAATATAGCTATTGTGTGTTTATCAATGATTTACATGGTATCACACATTCATAAAATATAGTTTACTGTAGCTATTTTGTGTTTATCAATGATTTACATGTTATCTCACATTCATAAAATATAGTGTAATATAGCTGTTGTATGTTTATCAATGATTTACATGGTATTATACATTCATAAAATATAATGTACTGTATTGCGGGTTGATTAGTGATCTAAATCAATAGAATCATACATTGATAAGTAAACTCTGTGGACCACTGAATGAATTAACAACAACAGTGAAATTTATACAAGAGACAAAATTGCTGATATAGACAACTTTTTCAGGCAAACGAAAGAAGAAGAAGAATACATTGATAAAATATAATGTGCTGTAGCGATTGTGTGTGGAACAGTTTTACATTGTAATATCCATGCATTGATAAAATATAGTGTAACAATTTTGTATTGATCAATGTTCTGAATTGTATCACACATTGATAAAATAAAGTATGTGGTGTAGCGACTGTATGTTGATCAATTTTCAATAATGTCATTGTACTACTTTCACAGGTTTGGTTGCAGCTGTGAACTGTTACAGTGTTGGTTTGGCTACCAAAGTTCAAAACTTCTTTACAATGGCCAAACTGCTAGCGATTTGTGTCATTGTTGTGGGTGGGTTTATCAAGATATTTCAAGGTGAGAATCATGAGTCCCAGGAATCAGAAACTAGCTCAGCTATCAGATGTTATCATTAGCACACTTGTACTGCAGCTTTTGGTCTTCACTTTTCTTATTCTGTGGCTTAGAGATTAGTGAACTGGTTGTACAGTGCAATCCTTGCTGTTCACCAGATGGTGGGAGGTTTAGGGAAAGAAAAAAAACCCCACTTTAGTGGCTTTCAGACAGTGATATGAGAGTCACAGCATGAAAGAGATTGGGGCCTCACTACATAATGATCCCATTATTAGCTGTGAATATTCCAGTTTTTAAAAAGTGAAATTGTGCTTATTGGTTATACAGCATTTAATTCTGTCACAAAATAAACACAGTCAGAGAAATGTCTGGACAGATGCTGGTATCAACAGTTATCAGAGAAAGAAGATGGCAATATGTTGGGTACCCTCTTGGATGCAGTCGCAGTTATACATGAAATTGAAAGAATTGTACAGGATAGAAAGGAATGGAGGAATTGAGTGTGAGCTATGTGTGATATAAAATAGGATGATGGTGATAAAAATTACCTCATTCAGTACCAATTAACTCACTGTGGGTTTACTAGCTGATCCTTAGATGTTAAAAGAAAAGTAAAATATAGGACCTTTTCCCCACACCTTCAGGCATATTGGCTATATCATACTAGAACTATATGTTGTAGACCAATAGGCACTCGGTGGTCAACATCACGCTGGCCACCTTTACTTACCAGGACTTTACCTGGTGCCCATTTAAAACTGGGTCGACCTGACAGCCAAGGCCATTTTTGAAAGAAAAAAAAAATGAAAAAAAAGTGGCTGCTTTGGGATTTAAACCCACAACCTTCAGATCCACAAGTGAACATCTAGCTCCTACACCATGTGACCCTCCCCTACATGATAAGCTTTTCTTACCATTGTGTTCCCCCATTAACTGTTTTAATAACCTGTTACAGATGTTGCCTTGGTTCCTCCAGTGCTTTAATGTTGTTATTTTATAAACTCTTTATCTACTTCTTCTTCTCTTGTCCTTTTCTGCCTTTCAATTTCAGGTTTTGAAGAGGTATCAGGTACAAGCATTGGTATTTGTTACGTTAATGCTGGTATTTATGGCCTCAGATATTCCATCTATCTGTCGCTTGTATCCTCAGATATTCCATCTATCTGTCGCTTGTATGATCGACCTCTAGCTATGCTTCCGTTGTGACTAAGTGACAGGGTTCTCTTTTGTCTGCACTGTCTGGTGGGAGTCTTCACATGTCCAAACCAATTGATTTGTTGTCTCATGATGTAGTTTGATACTTGTTCTGTCCCAGCTTGTTTCCTGATATTGTCATGTTTGTTTCTGTCTTTTCTAGTTACATCTAAAGCCCTGTTGGAGACATTGGGATTGATAGTGTCTGGGGCAGGAGAACTGGCAAAGAATTAGTTAATTAGTCAGGTTATCATCACTGCTCTCCCGACATATCCATAGGTGCTCAGGTCCTCCCCTCAGTATGAACTCCAGCGTCCGGTGGCTAATTGTACCAGTTCTATGTTGATTAACAAGTCCTCTGATGTGCCTGGTGTGCGTCTCGTTTTTTGCTATGCCGATCTTTACTCCCAAGTCTATCTGGCGAGTGATGTGGATTAAATGCCCCCAAAGTCCTCCACCTTTCCCGTTTCTTGGAGGGCATTAATAATATTGGCATGATCCATAAGTTGACCATCAGTAGTATATGGCATAGTATTGTCTTCGTGGGCTGTGATGATCGCTGGATTCTTCAGTCGACTTCCTACCAGATTAGGATTATGATTATATTTTGTGTCTCTTTAGGTGGGTTTTAAGAAGAAAGACAAGAATATAATGGAATGATAGAAAAACTGATGGGGCGATTCTCCTCAATACTGACGGATGTTGTAAACTGATCCGAAAAATTAGACGTAGAAAGTCAGGGTTTTTCAAACATGTTATGAGAAGGAACAAACAAATGAACAAACTTTATTTTCAAAGTGTTACAAATTGGGCACACAGGCCCATCTTACATTCAGCCCTTCCAAGCACTCATCTTTTAGGCCACAGTTGCATGTTATCAGTATGGCATCTTATGTTTATAAAAAAAAAAATACATCATAAAATAATGCATACACACATCATATGTACATTCATACACACTCCGAATATACATGTTCATACAGACACAAGGACATCCATACATACATACATACATACACACACACACACACACACACACACACACACACACACACACACACATACATACATACATACATACACACACACACACACACACACTCATACATACACACATGCACTCATGCTCATACAGACAGTTACAAGCACCGACACTCATGCATACACATACAGGAATGGACTTGGGAATGCGGTAACAACTAACAAGATTGATATGAAAATAGCAAGGGAAACCACGAGATAAATACCTGGTGGTTTTAGGCATATTGAAGACTAGAACACTGATCTGATCCATGATTCTGGTAATAATGTGAGATGGCAAAACATGACATCCTACGCTTATCAGCATAGCACATGATAGTGATGATGATTGTGCCTTTATTTAAGTTCTGTATAATACATCAGTGGGGATCTTGAGGACACATTCTGCAAGCTAAGAATAATTGATTAATGTGGGTGAATCTGGTTTATGTGAGAAACTACAACAGATAGGAAAATATGTGATGATCTATATGTTTATTGTCTTCATATAGGTCATACAGAATTCATCAATGAAGGTTTTGAGGACACATCCCATGATCCTTCTTCTATCGCTCTTGCTTTCTATAGCGGTTTATGGGCGTATGATGGTTGGTAAGTGAGAACATAGGTTTTAGTTATTTGCCACTTATGGTAGTGCCTTCAGGAAATCATGGGAACTGAGAGGAATGTAGTGTTTTGTGTGTGGTAACTTCAATACCAAAAGCCAATGATAATTGTGGAGCCACATCACAGACGAGCAAGGGGAAGATTTAGAGGATGTAAATGTTGGACATGGACCTGGTCTGCCTCAGTGATAGCAGAACCACCAGGATGGCCTCAGCCAGAGGATGAGGACAGGGTGCTCGATTTGGCATTGGTGTCATCTGCCCTCACTGCACACTTTATTTGCTACATCATTGACAATCACGGCAGCACCACTACCTATGTGTCAGTACACAACACAAAACAAACTCAAACACCTTCGAGTACACCTGAGGAAAAAGACAACATCAGGAGAACCCTATGTCTGAAACTTGCTGGGGGAAAATACAGATCTGCAGCAGCCGCACTAGTGGGATGAGGTGGTAGAGTTAGCTTGGGCACTTGAAAGGCGAGCTATCATGACCTGGCAAAAAGGCAGTGAAATCCATTGACTCTGGATCAGCTACAGGAACTCAAGCAGTTTATGTAGTCTACAACTAAAACCTTTAACACAAATGGTCAAGAAATCAAAACAAAAAACTGAGAATCCTTTTGTCAAAAAGTATGTAAGGAAATAATAATGTGCAATTTTCTGGTCCATTCATAGGGCCATGACAAGCTTTGTTAGATGCTGCAGTGTTGGAGACTTTCGCAGTGAAGACCAAAAATGGAGCAGATCTGATGAGGACAAAGGGAAAGTATTGTTGGATAAATACATCAAACAAACAAGACACCACCACAAGAATGACCACCATGGCTCACTGCGACATGTGCTGATACCAACATTGAAGACAACCTATTAATTACAGTTGCTGAAATAAAGAAAATCCACAGAACATCAAAAAAGACTGCTTCCATCCCTGATAGTTTTCAATAAGAAGACATCGACAAGCTGCCACTAACATGCATGAATAAACTGCAAAGTATGCAAGGACAGCATTCGTTATGGAACACTACACACACTCAGAGGCTACAGACGAAGCACAGAGATCTGGGGTAACACTGGGACACGTATGAAAGTTTTCAGGCCCGCACGAAACAAATGCAGTCGCCACAGACCTGGGAGATGTGTATAGTCAAGTTCCATTCCACCAAATAGTGTGTCAACTAATGGAACTCAGCACTCCCACATGTCTTGTTCTGGGAATTGTTTGAAAAAGGAAGATGGTGAGGAAGGGAATTGGCTGTGTAAAGGCCTTACATTTCATGTTCACAATGGCAGCACATGCCATTGGACCAAATTGACTTTTTTTAATTATCAGTTGGCATATATTAATTAGTTAAATGGACAGAACTACTTAATTTCCAGTGTTAATACATAATATTGTCTCCGGGTTTGTTCCATTTTCTAAAATGCACTTTTGTCTTTTTTCAGGAATAATTTGAATTATGCGACAGAAGAACTGAAAAATCCCTTTGTGTGAGTATAAAATTAACTCCTTTCCCAAACAGTTGTGTTATTAATTCAGTTATAAACAGTTGTGGTATTAATTCAATTATAACTATTTCTTCAACATGAGTGCATAAATATACACACATGCTTGGCAACAAATATGACTGTGTTGTGTATGGTACACATGTACTTGAAATCTAAGTCTATCAATTAAAGTAAAGATATAAATTAATATTCAATTACAAAGTGAAAATCCAAAATAGTAGTTGTTTATCCTGACTGACCTTTCTGTTATTTAACATGGAAAGATATCAAACTGAATGAAAAGTAGATCAGCGAGCTTCACAATATAACAAACACAAACAGAACGTGAATGTTGTGGCTATAGAGCCTTCATCAGCACATACATAAATCAAACAAAACCACACGAATACACAAAAATCACTTAACTGAGTATCCAAAAGCAGCCACGTTGATGTCTTGCCTGTGGAATGAAGAGACAATGTGAGTCCTCAGAATAAATAGCCGTTGAATGCTGTAGTGAATCTCATTTTCTCCCAGTTAATTTATGCCCGACAGATGACGTCAGTAATAAATGTGAGTGGAATATTTTGACTCTAACTGGGACGGCACTGGGATTGTTGAGTCTGAACTTCACGGGAGTTAAAGAAAAAGGCTGATAGTCAAACTTTGTGTGAAGCATAATTATTCACGTGAATAGAAACGTTGACTGTCGAACTTCATGCGAAGTACGATGAATCACGGAGAATTCGGGAAAAACGAAGCGGGGCATTAGAAGGCTATATAATGCCGTAGAAAGGGCTGAGGGGAGTCTCATTTGGGCCCAGGAACAGAGTGCATGGACAACGATGGAAGATGTGTGGATTCAACATGTGTTGAGTGAATTTGTTCCAGTCCAACTTGGCAAAAAAGCTGGCAGACAATATGTCCGCGGGCCTTGTTAGTTTTTCTGTCAGGACAGCTGTTGTGTTTTCGTTCATTAAGATAGTGTAGGATGATTGTGATTTCGGACAAAAGGTAATGATGGATACTTTTGATATTTGAGTTATAATGTGTGCCTGGACAGTAGTCTGTTTCATGTGCCAGCTGTGTAAGCCGCGAGTAGAAGATTAAAGTGCTGAACAGTATCATATTGTGTTTCCAGTCGTCCATTTTCTGCTCGTCATGTGATGTCGGTATGTGAGATAGACAGCGTGCGATGATGCAAGCCAGATAGAAGATAAAAGAGAGTCATCGCACGAATGGGAGCTCGTCCAAACAATTGAGGATAAGAAATTTGTATCAGACAGTGAAATCTGAAACATCGGAAATGAGTTTTGTTATTGGCCTGACGTCGGGTAGAACCAGTTCAATATAGGAACGTAAGCGGGGAAGATTGACGGCAATAACGACACCCCATGTCCGATTGTGTACAGAATTGAACAACGTTGGAACAAATTCCAGGCTTTCAACACTAGTAGATAAGTCCACGATTCAAGTTTTTGGCCAGTTACCAACAAGAAGCAAAGGAAATATTGTAGATAGTGACAGTGGCAAGGAGCAGTCATCAATGGTAGCAAGGGAAAAATAACAGTAAGTCTACGCATATATGACGTGAGACTAGGACTGTACCTCTACAATACTTCCGAAGCCCTGTGGTTTAGTCAAAATTTGCTGCCGACTAAGGTGTGGTAAAGTGCAGTGGGAAATCTGCACCGAGCAACACAAGAAAGTATCGACATTTTCTGCTCGTCGTGTGATGTCGGTATGTGAGATAGACAGCGTGCGATGATGCGAGCTAGATAGAAGATAAAAGAGAGTCATCGCAAATGCCAAGGACCGTGACTCAAGAATTTTATATGAAACTGTTAACAGTTAAGTCTCCGGGGCGGTAATGTACCCAGAGTGAAAATAATGCGATTTTCAAGAGACTTGTGGACTCTGTCATTAGAGTGGCTAGATTTAATAGCTGTCACCTCCATGTCGTGGACACCTTGATGTTCCCGAGAATTTAAGTGCAATGGTACTAATTTCAGAGCGCCGTTCTGCACATCCAAAAGATGTTGTCTGAGCCTCTCAGCCAGTCTTAGACCCATTTCATCAATGTATTTCATGCCCCATCTCTTGCAGTTAATAGCGTAAATGACATGTGGAAGGTAGGATTCAGGAATTTCAGATTTGCCCCTTGAAACACATATGGACGGATCCTGCATACAGGTCTGTGGCAAGAGGCTGTGCCGAAGTGGGACTCAGAAGCAGAACGCAACCAATTCTTGACTAGAATGTGCCTCAGGTTACGATCATGTCTGTAGGCCACTAGAGGAAGTTCAGAGAAAGTGGTGCTTGTGGCAGGGTCTGCCCTAAAGATGAAGAGATGCCTGAGGAGAATATTTTTGGCATGGATGTTATTAGGGTGGTAATTAACTATGAGGATAGTATTAAAGGGTTGGGGTATTATGAATGGTGAGAACCCTGGCTTATATGATAGTCACTTGAGGCTAATTTTGCATGTAACACTTGGCATATTTATTGAAATGGCTCTTTTATATCTACAGCAACCTGCCAAGAGCCATAATGTTGGGGATACCTTTGGTCACTGTATGCTATCTCTTGACCAATCTGTCCTATTTGGCAGTCATGTCAAAGGAAACTCTCCTGGCATCTAATGCAGTGGCAGCTGTGAGTGAATTATTTGGCTGTTTTTGCTAGAGAACTGATGTATTTGTGTGTTTATCTTCGTTGGGAGAGGAAGTAAAGCTCACTTACCCAAACATCTTTTTGGGGTGGATGCCATAGTACCGTAATAATGTTATAATAGTTAGTTGGGTATCCTTTACCGGACATTGCAGAACCAGTTGTAAGTTTATGTTTAATTCTCTTCAATCCTCAGTTCAATAAAAACCAAAAAAAAAACTTTTTTTGAACCTTGATTATGTTAAAGTTATTTTTTCATCTTATATGTAGTCCATGTTGTTTGGCACTGTTAGTCATGTCTGTCCAAAAACTTCTGTCTCAGGTACTTTCAGTTGATTGCTGACACACTTGATTTCCATGCCATGAAGTCAAACCATCGAGCATCTTGTTTCTTGGTCTTCCTCTGCCTCTTTTCCCATCCACCTTTCCCATTGTCAGAATGTACTCCATTTTTCCTCTAACCTGCAAAAGAAAAAACTATCAAAGAATATTGATTGTCTCCCTCAGGTGTGGACAGTCAGTTTGTTGACTCATTTTTTTTCAAGATATCTTCATTACTCTTTTTGTCTATCCAGGATGTACTCATTATTCATCTAAAAAACCACATCTGCACCACTTCCACATAATTTATTTACTAATTGACCACCTGTCCTGTATATTTAAAAAAAAGTAAAGATCCCTTTTCACGCCTTTAGGTGCATCGGGCATCTGGGAAGAGCACCCATATTTTTTACAGACCAGTCAGCACTGGGTGGGTAATGTAGTCAGCATTACACCGGCTGTCTTTACTTTCCCAGGACATACATCCTGGTACCCATTTTAGGTTGGGTCGATCTGCAAATCCCCATACCATGATAAAAAATCCTCGCAGCACGCAGTGGGTTTCAATTGCGGTACCTTGGAATTACAAGTCGGACGCAACGCGTAAGCCACGGATGCCTCTCCTGTATATCAAGATAGGAGTTATATAGTATTTGAGAATTCCTACTCTCCCCTCAGTTGATAGAGAAAGATTACAAAGAATATTCTTCATTTTATTAAAGACTGCTTTTGCTTGAGCTATTCTGCATTTAACTTCTTTAATACTTATCCCATCTCCTGTTATCAGGGTACCCACATACTTAAGCATATCAGTTTGCTTGAGGATTCTTCCATTTACTTTTTATTGCATTTTGGAGGGTCCAATTTCTTTGTTATTACCATTACTTCTGTTAGGTAGCAGAAGGGTAGCAGGGAAGGATAAACCAACAGAAAATGTAAGGCACTTCCTTCTCTTACATGAAATCATGACAGACAGAGGATGGCTACAAGTGGTGAGCAGCTGAACAGTTTTGAGTGCTAGTCACCACTTTAACTGTGCTACAGTGCCTTGGCAACTGTCATGAGCAATCATGCCTCTCCACAACTTGTGTTCCCCATCAGCACTAATGGAATACAGGCTAAAAGTGTCTGTGAAGAAAACTTCATTCTCAGTATAAATGTTGAAGTGCTCACAAACCATCCAAGATGTACCGTAGTCTAGTTACAGTGACCGGAAAGATTGTCAAGAATCTTCCTGTGTTGTCCCTGTAACTCTTCTTTTAAAGAATCTTCCTGTGTTGTCCCTATAATTTTTCTTTTTTAAGAATCTTTTTGTGTTGTCCCTATAATTTTTTCTTTTTAAGAATCTTTTTGTGTTGTCTGTATAATTCTTCTTTTTAAGAATCTTCTTGTATTGTCTCTATAATTCTTCTTTTTAAGAATCTTCTTGTGTTGTCTCTATAATTCTTCTTTTCAAGAATTTTCTTGTGTTGTCTCTATAATTCTTCTTTATCTATTGCAGTTTTTTTCACGTTTGAGACTTTATTCCAACTGAAGCAAATCTCAGATACCCACCCAACCATATAAATAGTTATATTGGGCACCTTTTGGCTATAGAAAATATTACCTTATTGTACCCTAATATTTATTACCTTAATTATTACCCTGTTGTTCTGGGCAGGAAAGCGTAGTATTTCTTGCTGTTATACCCTGTCCGTATCTGAAACTGGTTACTCTCCACTCAACAAATTGTTATATATTTTCATGTCCTGTAAAAAGTCATGTTCTCCGAATGTACATTTTCACATTGTTTCTGTTTAAAACTAGACCTGGGGACAGGAGATTCTTGGAGGAGCATCCATTGTAATTCCTATATTTGTTGCTTTGTCGACTTTTGGTGCTGCCAATGGTTCCTGTTTTTCAGGCGGCAGGTAAGAATCAACATGTGTCTGCTTCATTATTTACTTCTGCAGAAGTTATTTCAATAATCATCCTGTACTCGGCAAATTACCACATTTATACTAGAGGCAGATCACCACACTCTTCGGACATTTTTAGTAAGCAGATTAACAGTTTTAATTAATCACTACCCACACGTTGTACCTAGCAGATCACCAAGCTTTGTTTAATCACTTAAAATTTCTGCTTAGCAAAAAACCAGACTCCCACTGTGGGGTTTGGGGTCCCTTGGAGGATGGGGGGGGGGGGGGGGATAGACTCGCTGCTGCTTAACAAGTGTATCATAGAGTGCAGCTAATTGAAGATTTGCTGAAACCAGGTGTTGATCTGAAAGGCACAAATATCACTGCCTAGTTGTAAACCACAACAAAAGATGCCAACCATGCCTTTACTTCACACATACATAATCAAGTTCTTGGTTTTTTTTTTTTTTTTTACCATTTTCAAGACTCCTTTATTTTTGTATTCAGACTGTTCAGTGACCGCATATAAAGATACAGTGATCCCTTTTGTACGCCCTTAAACAGTTCCAGATCCTTAGACTTACACTCCATGGGATGTATAACAAACAAATATGCCCATAAGAAATAAAGGGAGCATGATTAATCCGTTTCCATGAAAAAATATTCTGTTGTTAAGTACAAAAGCAATTAGATGGAATAAATGAAAATTTACCCTCACTTTACCTTGCTGAAAACGAGTCATGTCTACCTTTTAGTGGGGGGGGGGGGGGGGGGGGTATGTTATTGTTTGGAAGGAGAACTCCCTTTCAATAAGACAATAAGACTTCAAAAATCTGAAATTCTGGATTTGTTCTTTCTTTTTTTTTTTAAAATTTCTTTTTACTACTTGGACCTAGTTAAGGTAAACAATGTTACCATGCAGTATCATGACAAATTTTGACTTATACAAGTTGTGGCATGCGGGTCATATTCCAAACAAAAGTCATATACCAAGCAAGATTTTTCATGTAACACTATTTATACCGAGTTTGACATTTTAGAAAGTGTGCGTATACTGAGGTGCCACTGTGTTATTGAAAACTTGTCAGGGTTTGGTTTGGTTGGTTTGAACAATGATTCAACATCATGGCACAAGGGTAGTAACCCATAAGTGCTGCGTTCTACTTCTAACTCAAGCATGAGTCCGAAGAATCTTAGAGCAGTGCCTGAACTCCATAGCACCGGCGAGGATCCTGAAATACTTTGGGTAGATTTTAAACTCCAAGTTTTGCCCGGGCAGCACCGTTGGGCTACTCTTTTCTATTTCCAAATGCCAAGGGATTTTCTTACGTGCGTAACAATACACACGGGCGTCCAATCTTACTACTCAGAGACCAGGGGAAATTACTGGAAGTCAACGTGAAAAATTCCAGCCTTCACCGGAGCTTGAACCCGGGACTTCCAGCACTCGAGGCAGATGCCATGCCTCGAGGCCACTCAACCCCCATTTTCAGAGACTAAATAAAGATAATAGTACAAACGAATCACTCGAAAGCTAAAGAATTATGCTTGTGGATGATGGTGACTATGTTTATGCTGCAAATTCAGTGACAGTCATCTGCAGTCTATGAATGCAGCGAGAAGCTGACATATTTCCTCCACTCACGTACCGTAACTGTGTCACCAGGTTAATCTATGCTGCTGCAAGAGAAGGTCATTTACCGGAGGTGTTCTCCTACGTCCATGTCAGGAAAGCCATCCCACTTCCTTCACTGCTTCTCACGGTAACAGTTTCATTTCTTCACTTGGATTTGATATTATTTATATATTATTGTATTACAATCTTCTGTTTGAAGGAACCTTTTCCACACCTTCAGGTGTATTGGGCATATAGGGCTAGACCAATCAGCTGTGGGTGGGTGATCTGGTCAACAACACACCGGCTGTGTTTATTTCCCAGCACTGCACCTGGTACCCACTCAAGGCTGGGTCGACCTGGGAGCCAGGTTTTTTTTTTTAAATTAAAGAAAACCCGGTTCCATCAGTACCCTAAACCACGCTATCTGAGCATCTAGCCGCTACACTGTTTGACTTATCTTCTGTTTAAATCATAACTAATTACTGGCTTCATGAGGGGCTGCTAGACTTTAGTGGTTTGGGCATATAAAGAGAATGCTAGATAACAGACAAAAACTGTGTACTGAAAATAGTTGCATGGGAGGAGACCATGAGGCAGAGCAAGAAGACTGTAGAGAATACACTGGCAGACCTTCAACCACTTGGAGTCTAAAACAGGAAAGAGAAGGCACAAATGATCATTAGAGGAAGGTACATTTCCATTGCAACACAACTCAGCATTCAGCGAAGAGTCGTAATGCATTGGATACCGTCTCATTGTGGAGTGCCTGGAAATGAGAAAGCTGATCAACTGGCAGGGGAAGGTGTGACAAAAGAGCAGCCGGATGTACCAATCAGATACCACCAAAAGAAAAGAATCATTAAATCGATCAGGAAACCACCAGCCCCAGCACAAGATGACTATTTTATTATGGACAGACCAGAACAAGTCATTATCCTCCGCCTCAGAACAGGGCACAACCGATTACGTAACCACATGTACACAAAATTCAAGATAGGTGTATCAGCTATGTGCACCTGTGGAAATGTGCCCCAGACAGCAGAGCATGTACTCCAGGACTGCACCGATTTTGACACATTAAGGCAAACCTTTTGGCCAGAAAGAACAACAGTGGAACGTAAACTTTATGGACCACTAAATGAACTAACAACAACAGTGAAATTTATACAAGAGACAAAACTGCTGATATAGACAACTTTTTTCAGGCGAACAAAAGAAGAAGAAGAAGGTACATTTCCCAACTGCACCTGATAGGGAAAGCTGAATTAATGTAGTGGCTAGGTGTTGACCTGAAAGTCTTGATTTATGTAATTAACTTCAGCTCTTTGACCTTGAACTCAAACACTGGATGTGATAAACGCTACTGGACATTTCCGTTTTCTTTTACAATCAAATCAGTTAGGCCCGTCTGTACCTATCAGCTACAGACTTGAGTTGTAAGTAGTAGCAGAGCGGTTAGACGCTCACCTGTGGATCGAAAGGTCATGGGTTCGCTCCCTGGGGGGTGCCTGACTTTTTTCAAAAAATGACCTTGGCTCCCAAGTTGACCCAGCCTTGAGTGGGTACCGGGCGCAGTCCCGGGAAGTAAAGGCAGCTGACCACATTACCCATATTGTGCCAATTGGTCTATAAAATATAGGTCTAGCCCTATTTGCCCTATACACCTAAAGGTGTTGAAAAGGGTCCTTTACTTTTTTTTTCAACTATTACTTACATCAAAAACATGTTTCAGTGCACTGTTTCTCATTGCACTGTCCAATTCCACAGACATTTATTGCAGTCCTGATGATGATACCTGGAGACATTTTCAGCCTGATTGACTTCTTCAGCTTCGCAGCCTGGCTGTTTTACGGAGCCACCATGGCCTCAGTGCTGATTCTACGCTACACACAGCCTGATGCACCCAGGCCATACAGGGTAAGGCAGCATGAGATCTGGAGGAGTTCTCTTACTTACACTGTGTTCTGTGACTTGCTGGGGGAGGGGAACACTTTCTGGCAGAGTGGTGAAGTCATGAAAATAAGTCATAATCTTTGATAAATCATTCATATTTCCATGATAGCAGGTTCTCATTACTGACAGTAGACCTATGACTTCATGGAAATTATTTGAATCATTGATGACGAATTCATTTCTTTTTAAAAAAGGACAATAATAATAATTAAAGACAAATTACATCTTCATGAAAATAAGTTATTAATAATAATAAAGAAAATAATTTTTGATGAACTGTTCATATGTTCTTGAAAGTAAATTGTAGTTATTGATGAAGCTATATCTTGAAAATAAAATAAGTTATAATTTTTGTTGATGAATTCATATTCTCAGGAAAAAATTATTATTTTAAATCATTGATTACAGACGGACTCATATAGCATTCTGTGGAAAATATAAACTTATGCCCAATGCATAAAATGGCTTACATCACTTGATAAGACACAGATGTTATCAAGGATTTTCTGCCAAGGACATCTCTAAGAGAGTTTCAGAGATCAAGTGGACAGTTCAACCCTGCAGACAGAGTTTTCGTTTGTTTGCTCGTCCATCACAAGTGATGAGGACACGCTTTGTTTTATCCGTCATGAAACTGCATTTGGATGAAAAAGTGACTAGCGCAATGAATTACATTAAAGTGAGGAAGAGTTGCGCAGTTTTGTCAATCTCACTCTCTCGCCTGTATCTATATGAATCCAGTGGCAGGACAAGTTGAGATTACTGGAGATGAAGTCAGGTGCAGTGGATGACCAGGGTGTTCTACGGGCCTTACCATGCTCTTTGCGCTCCACAGCGCGTTGTTGGTACCCACCATCAGGTCCGTTGAACCAAGTATTGGCTTCCTCTGCACATTCTGCCGAGTCCAGTCTATGCTTGCTAGGAAAGGCAGATCCTAACTCACCAAAGGCTGTTGGACCATTCGGCTACCCTCACCTGGTTTAGCTGGCCTGTCAAAGCTGTTGCCCAGGGGTTGGCCGCTGCTGCAAGCAGAGTATCATCATCTCAAGAGATACCTCAAGAGACTGATTCAGCGGGGAGTGAACAGAGTGTTTGAACTGCGCAGGGGAAAAGATGGGGGAACTTTTAATCACATTGCAAATTTGCACTATCACTTTGGAAACTCCTCATTGGCTACAAAGGGTAATGACCCAGATTCAGTGATGTGTCAATTCTTGAGTCATTTGTTGATGAAAAATTGATATCTTCTTTCCCTGTGTGTGTCCATTGCCCCATTGAGGGGAAAACAAGAATAGACCCACTGCCTCCCTAACAAGCTTGTCGCAGGAGTCAAAATTGGGGCCGCAAGGAACAATCAACTGCACACAATTAAGCCAGTAAAATGGATGTACACACAAAACTCAGGCCCTGGCGCAAAACCAAAGTTCAGATGATTGAACAGCCAGGACTTTCCGCCGGAGCTTACAGCCGAGGAACAAAGAAGAGGAAGAAATCTTCTTGAAAGTTATAATCATTGATGATGAATTTATATCTTTATGAAGGTAACAATAACCATCAATAATTACTTCTTCCAGGTCCCAACAGTTCTTCCTGTCCTGGTACTTATAATCTCTGTGTACCTCGTGGTTGCCCCCATCATCCAGGATCCACGGATAGAGTTCTTCTACGCCACACTGTTCATTCTCAGCGGACTTGTCTTCTATGTTCCATTTGTAGTGATGAATATAAGAATTGGAATTCTTGGTAAGATTGTTTTTATGTGTCCACAAGTAAACAGTGGTGCCGTTGTCTTTCAGCATGCGCAGAATTTTGTGTACTATTTATTGTTGGAGTTGGGTTGAGTTTCAGAAATTTACATCATAGTACTCAGGATATTCCCATATGCATTCCTTTCCCATCTTCAGCAGCGAGTAAAGAATTTCAGCTCCAGTGGTACCAGTCGCAGTCTGATTATATGTCTTCCTGCCTTTCTTCTGAGTGTGGACTACCGGGCAGATCTCTTGGAGAGAGTCATAACGGAGGGTTTAGTTCCTGGAGGAAGATCAGCACGGTGGTGGACACAGAATGGTTTCCACAGCCCTATTTTGGCGGATACAAGAATAGACCCACTGCATGTCATAAAAAGCAACTAATTAAGGATGTTTCCTCTGAAGTTCAGAGCATATCTGCCTGAGCAGCAAGGAACCAGCAGTGTGCATACAATGAGCCAGGTCTATCAATCGGATGTGCATACATATGAGCCAGATCTATCAATCGGATGTGCATACATATGAGCCAGGTCTATCAATCGGATGTGCATACATATGAGCCAGGTCTATCAATCGGATGTGCATACATATGAGCCAGATCTATCAATCGGATGTGCATACAAAATTCAAATTCTGTAACAAAGCTGAAAAGGATGAACAACCAGAACCTTTTATCAGTTTACAGTTGACATCCAGTAAACGCTAAGAAGAAGTAGACACAGTTGGGCATATAGATTCAAGAGATGGGGCAGCTGACAAGGTGCCTAGTGCTTTTCTATGTGTATTGGTGAGAGAGCAATGTTCTGCAAAGGACCTGTTGATATCCAAATTATACATCATGGTTATAAGTGAGCTATTTAATCATTCTTCTAATAGTCTGTGGCTCAACCCTACCAGACCTGAGGCCCTGAACCTAACTGTCCCTATAACCTGAGCTCCTGGGCATTACCGCGAAAAAACAAACATGATATATAAAAATATTAGTTACATGCAAACTAGTGGCTAGAATATGATGAAACTTGGAGACATTGTAGAAAATAGGCTTACCTTTTATCTAGCGCCAATATTTCACATTTGTGTGCGAATCCAATCATCAGGATCAACTTTGTTTCACAAAGTGAACACCAGATGTTGCCGTTTGAGGGACACACCCCCTTCTTCCACTATCGATCTATTTCAAGATTTATAATTTTCAAGATTTTCCTCATCATTTGCGCTCTCACTGACAGTGTCACTTCAAGAATGTATTCTTTATGAAATTATCACTCCAAGAACGTAATCTTTATGAAATTATCACTCCGCAGAGTCTGAATAAACTAAAGTATCGATCACCTTTTGGACTGTGAAACGCCAAGAACTTGGTTCATCAGCCGCTAGTTTCATTGTGAATTTTCAGAATTTGTCCACGAAAAACGACACAAATGTAATCCAAACACATGCGGGCAGACATTTGCAATGTCTGACAAAGAGGATTGATAACGATTGGGTGGTTATTTTTAGTCCGTGACGTATCTTTTCGCCGTACTACGCAAAAAGCCCAAATTTAGGGCCAGCGGTCTGGCGACAGGTTAAGAAATTCCCGCAAAACCGGGACAGCGGTCTGGTAGGGTTAGGCATTGTGAATGCGCTTTGTGCTTCCATGTTCGATCTCGGCGGCAGACCGCCTTTTCTGTGTTTCTACAGTGGTTTTGAGAGCTGACCATTTAGTGGCATTGCCAAACTGCTGAACATAAAATTGCATAGTGAAATCACAAACAGCTAAAACAAATTGCTGGGGTTAGTTCTGCATGGAAATTACTTGCAGCAAACTTGTTTAAGACTTAAAGTCCATGGCGTCTTTAGCTCCAACTCTCCCCCCCCCCCCCCCCCCCCCCCCCCCGCTTTCCCACTCCCTTTCAATGACGACTTACTCCATTTTCCCTTACTCATGACAGCCAGATCAGTGTAGGTTGTCTATTTATGATAGTAAGTAGTTCTCTTTGGGAGGTAATTTCATTCATCATTATCACACTTTAATCTGTCCCTGGCGTTCTCATCATTCTTCTCTGAGACCACACCTCTAATGATAATCAGAACAAAACAAAAACACTTACTGTAAAAGTTACCAACCATAGGCACTTATATTTAGTCCACAACGAATTCAGTTTCCATTTTGTGTTTGCTTGGAAGGTAAGTTCTGTTGTGCAACGTTTCATTCCATTCACATTTTATTTCCACAGGACCATTTACAACATTTGTTCAGTGTGCCCTGGAGGTAGCACCCAGCAAATTTGCCCCACCAGAATGAGGCAAGGAAGGAATACAGCGATCATATTTCACCTGAACAGACAGACTTTGAATAGACATAGAAATCATGTTTCACCAGAACAGACTGATTCCAGAGAGGTATCAAGATCATATTTCAACAGAGCAGACTGATTCCAGAGAGGTGCAGAGATCATATTTCAACAGAACAGACTCAGAGCGATATAGAAATCATGTTTCATCAGAACAGACTGATTCCAGAGAGGTATCAAGATCGTATTTCAACAGAACAGACTCAAAGTGATAAAGAAATCATGTTTTACCAAAACACACTGATTTCAGAGTGGAACAGAAATCCTTTTTCATCAGAACAGATGAATTTTGGAGACTTACAGAAATCATGTTTCACCAGAACAGAAAGAATACTGCAAATGAAAATGGCCTGAAGATCTGAGAAACACTCAGTGTTCAGCATAAAGGCAAGACATTCACTCAGTTATGGGAGTGCCCCGAATACTGTCATGTTGGTTGTTAACTCTTAATGTGTGCTCAGGTAACATAATAACTCGGTCAACAGGTTTTCTGTGACATTTGGGATAAAGTGGATTGCTGGTTAACTGGATGTGGTTCAGCGATAATATTATAGACTAGCAAGATTGTAGACCTAACTCTACACCTATCATCAGTTGTTGTTTGCAGTTGTTGTCATTTTCTTTGATACTGTTTCCAGTCAAAGTAAGTTAGTGTGGCATTATATAATTTTTGTATTGACATATTTGTGTAGAAATCTGGTATTTCATCAAAGTATTTTCAAGCAAGCAAGATATGTCTGAAACACATGGACTAGAATGAATACCACCATTGATTTATCACCAACAAACTATTGGGTTGACAAACTTTGATGATACGATGCTGTATATCTTCAAAACTAGTCCGTTAGTTGAATATAATAGGAACATTGTCTACTAGAAAAATTATCTACCTTGATTAAATGTAATTGTTTGCATTCTTTTTTTTTTTTAAGTAACCATTTTGTGTGTGGCATTAAAATCATGACAGAAATTATATTCTGCAGTGTTTATTTGATCTCCACGTACGGGCCAGACCCATTCTGTCTGGAGCAGAGATTCCTATACACACAAAAAATGTGTTCAAATAAGAACTATGACAAGAGTTTTTTGCAGTAATTTCACCTTGGTAGAATTCTCCCATACAAAATGTTTGCTGTAAGAGCCAACAGGCATGTAGTAAAAGGAAGCAAAATAAATCAAAAGCAGAGTACTCCATGTGTGGGTTCCGGGGTCCCACTGTGGGGAAGACAAGAATAGACCCACTGCCTCCCCAACAAGCAGGTTGTAGGAGTTGACTAATTGGGCTGTGAATTTCTTGAGGCCTCAGATATGCGGTTTTACAGAAGAATCCTTAGAATTCCTTAGACAGCTAAAAAGAGCAAGTGAGATGTTTTGAAAAAGGTTAATGCTCGAATACAACTTATCACAAACATCTGAAAGAGACAGTCATGATTTTTTGGTCATGCTTTGAGAAGAAAGAAACTGGAATGTGTTGTGACCACTGGAAAGATGTGTGGAAAGAGAGATGGAGGAAGACAGGGCGAGAAGATTCTTGACAGCCTTTTATCATGGCATGGAGGGGTGTAAACACATGAACCGATACATGCTGTTGATGACTGCAGATTGTGGAGAGGCATGATCACCTACACCAGTTGGTCAAGTATTGTCTAAAACTGCTTTAGAGCGGCTCATTGTGAAAACTGGATGTGACACAAGGTGTGACTTAATTTTGCCAGGTGATAACAATAAACACATGGCATGTTGCCTGTTACTTGGTGCAGAAGAAGCTTTTCTGGCCATTTGGGGGCACAGACAACATAAGGTGGAGACAGTATAACAGATAGAGACAACATAAGGTGGAGACAGTATAACAGATAGAGACAACATAAGGTGGAGACAGTATAACAGATAGAGACAACATAAGGTGGAGACAGTATAACAGATAGAGACAACATAAGGTGGAGACAGTATAACAGATAGAGACAACATAAGGTGGAGACAGTATAACAGATAGAGACAACATAAGGTGGAGACAGTATAACAGATAGAGACAACATAAGGTGGAGACAGTATAACAGATAGAGACAACATAAGGTGGAGACAGTATAACAGATAGAGACAACATAAGGTGGAGACAGTATAACAGATAGAGACAATAAAACACATGGAGCCAGGCATTGGTAGTGTAGTATTTAAAAATGTGCTGATTTATTTCTACTCCATCTGTCAGGTTTTGTTCTCACTTACCACAGAGGTAGCTGGAACAAATGTATATTGTAATTGTCTACCAGTGAAATGCATAAACATTTTCATAGAGGCTGCTTGTTTAAAAACGTCATCATTAGGTGACATATTCCACCATGATTAGATCAAATTACGGTGGCTCTGTGTTGAATTATTTAAACAGTAGAGCATGTCTGGATGAGCATTTGCAAGGACACTGGATAGGATGAAGGGATGCAGTTGAGTTTCCCGCACGTTCTCCGGATTTAACTAACACTACTCGACTTTTACTTATGGGATACCCTAAAGGATGCCATCTGTCGCAAAAAACTGGCCACAGTGGCCTTTCATTGCAAGAAATTGTAACTGCATGAGCAGCAATCACACTGGACACTTTGGATAACGTAACCCAAGCAGCAGTTGGCTAGCCTAATAAGTGTCTGGGAATCACTTTGAGCACCTGTGGTAACTTCATCGATCACATGTAACTTGTAGATGTCTCTTCATGTCTAAATAAATTGAGTATCAAACAAAAATCTTTATACAGGTTGTTAACTTTAAAAACTCCATGCAGCACATTGCTGCTGTAATGTATTCAAAAACTGCAAATATCGTAGATGATTATACATTTCGTTGCTAGGTGATTACAATGTGAGGGAATTAGTCCACCCCCCCCCCCCCCCCCTCCCACCTTGACTGCACAACGAGTGTCAAGCACCTGGTGACACAAAGTGCCACCATCAGATGAGGATCACCCAGACACAAGTCCTAGAAACCTTGTTCAACCATCAGGTTATATTAGGACCCCTGACAACAGCCGGAGTGGAGCTTTAAAGTTAAAAAAAAAAAAGTACGTCCCATATTGGGATGGCAAAACATTTACAATGTAAAAATTGTCTTTGCCTACCTCTGTATGTTTCTGTTATTACTATTTCTAATCATGTTATCTTGTGGCAATGGTGATATGCGACAGTAGTTTACAGTATTAACATTTGCACACAGACCACTCATTATTTATCACTGTTGTATCAAGCAAGACAAGGCGACATACTTTGATGAATTATTGGTTATTTTATATAAATAATCCAACACAGATCAAACATAATCCAAATAATGATCTCCTTTTATCAAATTTTTCTGTTGATATTTTTAAAATGACTGTTCTAATAATGATACAATGACAGCACTGACCATATATCTGTGCTATGACACTGGATACCAGCATGATGGTGAACATATCACCCATTTAGAGCCGACTGGTCTAAGGAAATAAATGTCTAGCCCTATATTCCCAATGTGCCAATGAATGGATCAAGAATGGACATCCTTGCACTCAGGACATTTCCCTGCTTCAGTAGCTGACAGAGACTAGTCATGCTCAGTAGTAACAGTTGCAGCCTGATTAAATGTCCCCCTTCCCCCCCCCCCCCTTCCCCCCCCCCCCCCCCCCCCCCCCCCCCCCCCCCCCCCCCCCATCAAATCAGTCTTTCAGTGTATGGCTTTCTCTGTCTGTTCTGTTGGGTTGTCCCAGAAAAAGGCTCTTTACTGTGCTTTTTTTTGTTTACACATTGTATAAATACATCTGCCTAAATCAGTCATTACTTTAACTCCTTCAGATCAGACAGTTGTTATTTTAACCAACATTGTCTAAGTCAGGATGTATGTTCTGTAGAGCAACAGTCTTTGAGTCTCAGTGAGCTAAAATTGTAGAATAGCAAGAGTTAAAATAGCTGCTGCAGTAGACAGGAGAAATGTAGCATAAGTTAGCCAGTACTATTTACAGGGTCATCAATCAATATTTAGTGAGTTGTCTTGTACTATTCTTCTTCTTCTTTGTTCACTGGCTGTAAACTCTTCTTTGTTCACTGACTGTAAGCTCTTGTTTGTTCACCGACAGTCACCGGCTGTAAGCTTTTCTTTGTTCACCGGCTGGAAGCTCTTCTTTGTTCACCGGCTGTAAGCTCTTGTTTGTTCACCGGCTGTAAGCTCTTCTTTGTTCACTGGCTGTAAGCTCTTGTTTGTTCACCAGCTGTAAGCTCTTCTTTGTTCACTTGCTGTAAGCTCTTCTTTGTTCACTGTCTGTAAGCTCTTCTTTGTTCACTGTCTGTAAGCTCTTCTTTGTTCACCGGCTGTAAGCTCTTGTTTGTTCACTGGCTGTAAGCTCTTGTTTGTTCACTGGCTGTAAGCTCTTCTTTGTTCACTGGCTGTAAGCTCTTCTTTGTTCACCGGCTGTAAGCTCTTGTTTGTTCACCGGCTGTAAGCTCTTGTTTGTTCACTGGCTGTAAGCTCTTGTTTGTTCACCAGCTGTAAGCTCTTCTTTGTTCACCTGCTGTAAGCTCTTCTTTGTTCACTGTCTGTAAGCTCTTGTTTGTTCACTGGCTGTAAGCTCTTCTTTTTTCACTGGCTGTAAGCTCTTGTTTGTTCACTGGCTGTAAGCTCTTCTTTGTTCACCGGCTGTAAGCTCTTCTTTGTTCACTGTCTGTAAGCTCTTCTTTGTTCACTGTCTGTAAGCTCTTCTTTGTTCACTGGCTGTAAGCTCTTCTTTGTTCACTGTCTGTAAGCTCTTCTTTGTTCACTGTCTGTAAGCTCTTCTTTGTTCACTGGCTGTAAGCTCTTCTTTGTTCACTGGCTGTAAGCTCTTGTTTGTTCACTGTCTGTAAGCTCTTCTTTGTTCACTGGCTGTAAGCTCTTCTTTGTTCACTGGCTGTAAGCTCTTCTTTGTTCACTGTCTGTAAGCTCTTGTTTGTTC